AAGTATTGTAAAACGTATAAAAAAAGATCTTTAATCAATTGTGTAACGATCTACAAAATCGGGGCACTCGGGACGTTTCTACCTCGAGTTCCTACCTTGAGATCCGAACACGGTTCTATATAGTGCAAAATATTGAAATTTACACTAAATATCTTAATTGTTCTCTACATCTTTAATTAAATATTTCTAATATTTAATACTTGTCTATAGTTTCTCAAAACTTTTTTCAAAAGTCGTCCTAACTACAGTATATATTGCAGCGTTCTAAAGTTTTACGTAGCAAATCCTCAACATTGTTACTAGGAAAAGTAGTTTTGCCTATCTTAGAATCTTGAAAAACTATTTTGGGATCTATAAAAGCAGAAGCTTTGTAAAAGTAAATAGTACTTTAACTATTATATTAAAAAAAACAAATCTTTGGCATTGCTACTAGTAAAAGTTTTACCCATTCCGGGATCTTAAAAAGCCATTCGGGATCTTTGAAATTAACTCTTGTTGCGCGCAAATATAAATTTTCAAACCGCAATAATAAGACAAATTCGCAATAATCACAAATTTTGCTAGAAAATATCACCAAAATCACAAAATCCGCCCGTATGGTTCTCTTTTACATTTTTATTGGCTAACATACATTTCTGCATTTGCTCCTGTAAACAAACAGAGAATTTTTCACCGGAAAAATTTAAAGTTTGAGCTTCCAGTCAAATAACATTGTCGATGTCAGCTTCAGCTTCACCTCAAAAAAAACGGAGACTTTCGACTTCGCCAGCCGATGGTAAGTTGACTTTCTGCTATATATAATTAAAATTCAGATCCAAGATGAGTTAATATTTCATCGTTATAATTAGATCGACGAGTCAACGTCAATGAATCCCTCAAAAAGGTTTGTTTCTTGAACATATCAAAAGAAATTTTTATCAATGTATTTGCTTAATTGTTTATTATGTTAAATAGGTCAAACAAGACAATCCTACTGGAACAGGAAGTTCCTCGAGTATAGCTAAATCAGAATCAATTTCTCCAAAGATACCAACTTCGTCCCCAGCTCAGCAAGGCAAAACTAACGTCCCTACAGTTCGTATTAGTGCACCTATAAACACACAACATCCATTAAGTCAAAGCTCAACGTCCACTTCAGCGACATCACCCTCCGCCAATATTGATAAAGAAAAATTATCAATACCGACCGCACAGACTTCAACTTCTACAAAAGGGAAGGCGAATACTAGCGCTCAAACGCAATCCATTTCCTCATCAACTCAACAATCGCAACAATCACAACAGATTCAATGTTCTATAAACCAAGAGTCCACACAGGATTTATTGATTAGATTAACAAAGAAAGAAGAAGAAATTCAAAACTTACTGGTAATTTGTTATGATTTCATTATCCTTTTTAAAGGCGTAATTAATATTTCTTTGTACAGGGTGAACTTCAAAACCTTTCGCAAACATTAACGCCGGATTTTACATTTGATCAATCATTTCGAAAAAAATTTCTTGACCCAGCAATTAATCTTTTATTTCGTAATATGAAAAAAGAATTGGAAGATAAAGATAAAACAATTGAATCATTACAACATGAATTAGAAGGCGTTAAGTTTACACCGAATAGGTCGGTGATCTATTTCTTACTGTATGATAATTGTTATGTCCAGTACTTTATAAATGTTTGACTTTTATAGTATTACTGGTAAAAAACTTGTTTCAAAACTACGAGCATTGCAAGATGAAAATGAGGAATTAGGGCGGCAACTCCGCCAGGGACGTGTAGAGCAATATGAAGTTGAAATAGCTTTACAGAGAAAGATGATTTACGAATTGAAACAGGGTCTTGAAGGTGAGATTAACAATTTCTTATTTTTATTATAATATAAGTTATATATATATTGCAATTAATTTAATATTTATAATATTGTATAGAATCCGATAATCAACTTATATCTATGGACAATGAAATGGAACGTCTTCAAGACCTTGTATTCAAATTAAGAGCAAAAGTTAAACTTTATGAAGATAAGTTCGGTCCTCTAGACACTTCTCCAGCAGATGTCTCTAAGCCAGATGTTGTTAACGAGAAAGCCGAATCTACAAAAGTAGAACAAAAAGTCGATATATAGTGTATAGTTAATATTAAATAATCTTTAACTAAAATTGGCTTTGCAATAAATTTTTGTATAAGTATGAATTCTATAAATATACAAAGAAATAGGAGCTATTAAAAGTTAATGTGTTTGAAATGTTAATTAGTGTTAACGTTGATACTTTAGACTAGCTCTCAGACTCGGGCGATGCTCCGGGAATAAGTGTTTAAATTTTTATATTATTTGAATTTAATGAATCTGATTTGGGTTTACTTGAATCCAGCTTGGGTTCAAATGAACCCAATTTGGGTTCACTTGAATCCGGCTTGGGTTCAAATAAACTGGCTTGGGGTTACTTGAACCTGGTTTGGGTTCAAATAAACCCGATTTGGGTTCACTTGAACCTGGTTTGAGTTCAAATAACCGGCTTGGGTTTACTTGAACCCACCTTGGATTTACTTGAACTCAGCTTGGGTTTGTTTAAACCCAATTTGAGTTTAAATAAACCCAGATTTGGTCAAGTAAACTCAATTTACTTGATTTTTTTTTTTTTAAAAAAAAATTTTTTTTGAATTTTTTTTTTTTTGGTAAGAAAAATTAAACCAGCTTTACTATAAAATTAAAAAAAAAAAATTAAACTATTATATATATGTTATAACAATTATAGTTTGTGATATCTTAACCAAAAGTTAAACTCATTCAGTTTTATCTTATAGTTGTAATTTTTATGACAAATTATTATTTTGTTATATTATATTTAGATGTAATCTGTTTAGCAATACTTGGTTTTTTTTTAGTGAATCAAAATTTATTAAGAATTTTGGTTTTTTAGATTTAACTTGTTCTATTAAATTTTTACTACTATATAAAGGAAAGATGGGTATTCTGGCATGGGAAAGTATTGTGGCACATTTATATTTTTCAATATCTTGCGATTTACTGATCCGAATAGAATAATTTTAGTACTATTCGATTCGCTTATTGAGATGAATCGAATGGTATAAAAATCACTTTAATTAAAATTTTTAAAAACTCTTGCCAACAAGATTCAAGCAACATTAATAAAAAAATTCTAAGAATTAACTAAAGTGTATTTGGCATGCCCAGCACTTCTTAAGAATCTGCTTCATTTAGTAATTTATTATTTGTATTATTAATTAAATGTCAAACTTGACTAATTATAAAGTTTATGCAGTATGTAGATATTACTATATTTGCAGTATGCCAAAATACCCCCACCTAATAAAATAAGATTAAAAAATTACTTTTAAAAAATTTGCAATAAACAAATTTTTTTTAGTAATAATACCTTTTTTTTCATTATCAGATAGCCAAGTATAAAATTAGATAGTTAAATGAATTTTAGAAATAAATATTAATTTATAAACTTTTAATTAGCAATGCAGCTTAAGTGCGTCAGAATACCCTTCACTCTCTTATAATAAAATGTTGATATTTTTTTATAAAAATTAGAAAAATAAAAAACAAAAAAAAAGTAAAAATAAAAATAAATATATTATAGAAAATAATAACCAATATTAAGAAGTTTAAATCTATATTAAAAATTTAAAAAAATTTTTAAAAAGAAAAAAATCAAACCAAAAAATTGATATTTAACTCTCCCTAATGATCACTTGTACCAAACTTACAACTAACGAAAATGGAAAACTTGTTGGAGAAAATAGAAGAGACAACTACAAGTAACGGTTTTTGCAGAAGTCAAGGTTTTCACTGTTCTTTACCAAACTCCTCTGTATATTTAGCAAGCAAGTTAAAAGCATTCTTGCACAAGATAACTGGCAGGAGGTGGTGTTTTTGTGCAAAAAATTTTAATAGAAGCATAGCTTCTGCTAATGAAGTGAAAGATAGTTGGTTTGAAGGGGAATAACAAGCAAGTTTTCAATATACTCTCTATCGAAGTTTAAGGCTACCTGCAAACTAAAACCCTCTACCAAGACTCTACTCTATGTTTTTTACAAAGTTTTATCAAAAGTAAAAAAAGTCAGCATACTCTATCAAAAGATTGACAACAACAATCACTACCGAAAAAGAAAATCACATATAGTAATACATGTTTACTTTAGGATGAAAAACATGTTGATCGGCTTCCCTAAGAGGTTACAGTGTTTATACTGTTAACTTTGTCTCGAAAACAAGCAAAAACACATTGTAGAATATCGCATCGAAAATTTGGTAGGACTGCAAAAGAAATTTCAAACTTGGATCTCTACTTAAGAATAGATATTATATATATTTTAATATAAACATAAATAACTAGTATAGAGTTTAGTCTAGTTTATTTAGTAGTCCTATATAATTTTTACAATCTGGCACAGATTTAATAGTGCTATCTTTGTTTTCTTTTCTTTTATTTTGGTTTTGTTTTTTTTTGTTATTTGTTTTTAGTTTTATTTGATTAGATAAATCAAATTCAGACATCAAGGTATTACTCTCTTTTTTTATATTGCCCTTCTGATTCTTTTCTTGATCTTTTCGTTTTAAAAAAAGGAAAGATAATACTGATATAGCATATGGTATTGGCTAATGATCGAAAAATTTATGCCTCTAGTAAGTTAGAGACCCGGAGGAAGGCAAATGACCACTAGGCGATGTCACACCTAGGCTTTTAAGTCGAGTGAGTTACTGTTTGTGGTTAAAGAAATAACTAGTTAAGAATTCTTGTAATTTTTATTTAGTTAATATTTCAATAAAATAGTGGCAAAACATACTGAAAAAAAAAAAAAAAAAATCAAACCAAACCTTTACAAAACTAGTGAGTATATTAGAATATAGATATTTATCAAGTGATTTCTGCCTCTTAAAAAGGTACTCTCTCTCTCCACCTAATACTAACTAGCCAATCAAATTTAAGTAAATTTTATATAGTTTAATATTTATACATATATAATTATTAGTAGTTACTTTATAGTAAAGTCAAAATTTTACTAAGTAAATTAATATATTTTATTAAGTAAAAGTTGTTTAGAAGAGCAAAATACATATATTTTAAGTTTTATCTAAATTGAATAACTTTTTATTAATTGGTGATTCACCAGTCAACTAGTGAGAAGTCATAGTATAACGTGATGTAGTTTACATATAGAAATTAGTGTTTTGCGAATATGGGCTACATCATTCTAAAACTTTTTTTATATTAAGTTAATCACCTTTGAGCTTCTAATTGAAGTTGTAGAGCTCGTCAAGATGAATCTAATAGTGGTTGAATCATCAAAATTGGCCTTGTAGATTACAAGATATCTTTAAAAAATATTTTGTTAACTACAGTTAGCCAGTGAGAGGTCATAGTATAACATGACGTAATTTACTTATAAAAATTAGAATTTTGCGAATATGGGCTGCATCATTCTAAAACTTTTTTTTGTACTAAGATAACTACCTTTGGGCTTCTAATTGAAGTTGTAGAGCTCATTGAGAAAAATCTAATGGTAGTTAAATCATCAAAATCGACCTTGTGGATCACGAGATATCTTCAAAAAATGTTTTGCCGACTATGTAAAATTCTCTTGGTAATACTATTGTTGAAAGAGAGAATTTTACATAGTCAGTGAAATGTTTTTGAAAATATCTTGTGATTTACAATGCCAATTTTGATGATTCAACCACTATTAGATTCCTCTCAATAAGCTCTACAATTTTAATTAGAAGCCCAAAGGTGGTTAACTTAGTACGAAAAAAAATTTTAAAATGATGCAGCCTACATTCGCAAAACCCTAATTTCTATAAGTAAATTACATCATATTATACTATGACCTCTTATTGGCTAACCGGTGAATTACCAATTAACAATACTATTATTAAAAGAGAATTTTATATAGTTGATAAAACATTTTTTGAAAATATCTTGTGATTTATAAGGCTTATTTGACCATTAGATTTGCTTAACGAGCTTTACAACTTCAATTAAAAGCCCAAAGATGGTTAACTTAGTATAAAAAAAGTTTTAGAATAATGCAGTCTACATTTGCAAAACTCTAATTTTTATATGTAAACCATGTCATATTATACTATAATCTCTTACTGGTTATATTTTTATATATTATATTCAATAAAAAATTTATAAATTTCTTAAAATTTCTATTTATTGAATATAAAAGACAAAATTTAATTAATAAAAAGTTAAGAGTGTAGTGACTTAGTGAAGTGGTTAAGTTCATCACAGCGAATTTATGAAATTTAGCTACATTTTGGTCACCGAATTTAAACATTTGGTCACCAAACTTAAATTTTGGTTGCTT